ACAGTAAACTGCACCAATTTGTTTTCATTTTCCAGGCAGATTTTGCAAAGCTAGGACGTCCAGCAGTAAAATGAAATAATTCTGCGGCAGATTCCATATTTGGTTTTTCTGCATGATAAAAAAAAAGATAGTAAACATTTACCCTTAATGTATATTTAGTATGTTAGCCTTTGTTTTGTTATGCTTGTGTTGAAAATAGAAGTATAGTAGGGATTCCTTCTGTGTCACTTTCCACATAGCAGTTAAATCACTATATCTGCAACCGTCTTAACTATTTACACTAGTGCTTAGCATAAATATTTATGATAGCAAATTAAATATTTTGAGTTAAATATTAAGCAGTTCAAACTGTTTGCCAAATTATGAATAATTGTCACCAACTTAGTTTTTTCTTTATTTTTGTATATATTTTTTTTAACAATTCCAAACACTGGACATTGTTTTCCAAAAGTAACTTCATCACAGAAAGCTTTAAACTTGACAGATGATTGCATGAATCGAGGTGTTAAAGGAATACTTGAATATTTATATATCAGGATTAGAGGCCAATCTCATGGTGGGCTGATGTGATTCTGGCTGTCTGTCTTCCTCCCATCCTAAGCCCCTGTTTTTTTTTTTCAGGAAGAGAGCAATAAAGGGATTTGGTCTGTCCAAGATTCACAATGAGACTTCTCATGAAACCTCCGGAACTGAAAAACCAAATCCCCCTCTCCCTTTATACGTTAACAGCTTTACAGCAGAAATCCACATTGGCAGCAATGAGCCCTCCATAAATTGTCAATATGATTAGCTCAAGAAAAGGAGATGTGCTATTTATTCTGGACTTTGACTTGGGTTAAATCTCAAAACTGAACCGAGATGGGGCAGGCATAGAGGATAGTCCTCCATTAGATGAAAAGGGAGGGTAGAGAGGGTAACCGCCGTGACAGAGAATGTGAGCGCTTGTGCAGTCATGTTAATCAATGAGAGCTGTTCCCCATCCACTACTAGTCCTCTGAACGTCACCATACAGGTAAGTCTTCTACATCTTTCACCGTTAAAATATGAAGCCAAACTATTTTCTTTTCCTCTCCAGTCAGTGGGAAACCGGCCAGGTCAAGATCCGCAATTGCAATAGCCCCAAACAGGAAAATGAAGGTTGAGAAGATCCGGTTTGTCAAAGTAAAGTATAGTAACGACAAATCGGTAGCTAAAAGTGGAGTCAAAAGTACACACATTTGTTACTTAAGTAGAAGTATAGATACTGCAGTTTAAAAACAGTCTGGTAAAAGTTGAAGTATCAACTCAACCTCTTTAATTAAGTAAAAGTGAAAAAGTATGCTCTCCAAAAACTACTTAAAGTATAAAAGTATGAAGTAACCTTAAAAAAAAACAAACAAAAAAAAAAAACAGCCAGATGCTCAATTTTTCGACTATTTTGAATAATTCTTTAAAATAGGGACAAGGATGAGGGAGGTCTTGTTGGTCTCCATCTCCCGATACGCTCTTGCCTGTGTCCGACCTTTCAGACATTTTGACATCTTTTTCTGAATCCGACATTGTAGCATGGCATAGACAATTCACTTTTGCAGTTTGAAGAACACCTGCTTGCTTCTGATGATTTCCTTTAGCTAACCAATGAGTGTTTGTGTTATATGACTCATCCAATCCAATTAACTAGACTACTTTGGCTCTGTTTTTTGTTGTTAGTATGGTTGTTTTAAAAGGATGTCTAAGATAGTTATTTTGGAGGAGTGGAGATGATGTCTGCCACTGGCATCCGAGCAGAACTGATGGCTGAGCATAAATTACTTTACAACGTCGATATTGAGTGTTTGGGTTTTTCATTTTTCATAAGTGCTTATATACTATTGTATTGAAATACAAGCAGACTGAGCAAATTGAGTTTGATTAACCAGTCTTTTGGATATTACTTGTCTCAGCTTTCTCCTCCACACTTAATGATTAACACATTCATCTCTAACTGATAACCTCAAAATCAAGCTGTAGACTTTGCTATTTTGTCATGGAAGAAAACTGGGTTATGCATTGATTCCAATCTAACAACATCACTCTTTGTTAAAAGCTGCATTCTTCTTCACTTTTTTCTTATTTTTCTCGGGTTTAAACATGGCAATATCTTTTCTTATTTGTGGTTTGTTTATTAGAAGTCAAATGCAAACAGCAGCAGATTTGAGCTTAAATTAAATTTTAATGAAAATTGGGTACTTTCAGACCGCAAGGAAAACACATAGGTGGAAGCATCATTAGAACCCAACAATAAGATAAATTTACCAAGGAACTTAATGTTAAGGAGGAGTCATAAATGACATAGAGAGCAGATGAGTGCAGAAAGAGCAACTAGTTAAGAATCTATAAATCTATAAATCTACATAGGACTGCATCTTCTAGTATTATCAACAGGTGGGGTTTGGAGCTATTATTCAAATACTTTTAACAACAGCTAAAATTGTCAGATTATAAAAATGCTTTTAAAAAGGTCATACGATTATTTCATGAAAATGTATTAGAATGGAAATAACAATTTAACATCATTGATCTCACAATGGAGAAATTCACTTCTGCATCTTAACCAATCTCCTTAAGGAACAGTGAGCTTCCACTGTGTAGTACCTGGGGAGTAATCAGTGGTTAAGGGTCCTACTCAGGGACCCAGAGTGCAGGCTGTATGGATCGAACCAGGAACTTGCAACCTTCTCAGAGCACAAGCGCACTGCTCTAACCACTAGGATAACGCTCCCACACTACTATCACACATCAGTAAGCAGCAATAACGTTTGAAAAATAAAAGACTGTTGCCTGAATCTGTTTGAGTTTCACATCAGGTCAGTAAAAAGCCTGAGGCACTTTGTACTGTAAACGCTTAGGGGTTGGTTATGAATTATTACCAAAAAAAGTTACAACACAACCGTATACTCTTACTGGGTGTCTGTTTATTTGTCATTAGAGTGAGATAAAAGAGGAAATCTCATTTTAAGGATTTTTTTTTTTAGCAGTTGTGTTAATCTTACTACACTGTATATGTATAAAGGAACCAACTTAATTTATCTTGTGAAAAACATAATACCTTAACAAACTAATGATCTAATGTAAATAAATGCCATCAACTCACACTGACAGCATCTTAATGATAATTGTAAAATGATAAATGATTAAAGTAGTTTCTGTAGCTGTAGTTGGTGAATCAGCTTGAGGTCAAAAATATATCTAAATGAAAATAAAATAAATTCAGGCTTACAATAGAGACTTTTCTTCACTTTAGCAGCCTGTAAATCTCTTACCTATTTGGAAGTGCAATTAGTAAAGACCTAATAAGCTAGTTTAAGATTGACAACTATATTGTATTAGGTCCTGATGAGTTGTTTTAGATAAACAAAACTACCCATACATTTAGAAAACAGTCCTGTTTGAATATTTCATAGGAAAAAAATAAAAATAAGGTAAATTAAGCTCCAAGCATATTGCTCCTTATAATTCTATAAACAGTACAAGGTATTGGGTATTAGAAAATGATAAAACATAAGGACATTTTCTGAAACATTGACCACCATCATGTTTATACAATTTGTGTGTTTTCCACGCTCTGTTAATCTAGCTATCTCAGGCTTAAGGTTAAATATTCTATCTAGTATATAGGTTCCCCAAGTGGTCAAACACTTATTAGATAACATAACATGAAAACAAACCAGACATGCAACCATGTTGACAAAACTTCAAGCATTGAGCATGTGAAGGTGAGTGTGTCTTCTTTAGTGCATACAAACTCTATATACGATATTTAATTAAATAAGTTAATGTTATCAGATCATGGCTACTAAATTTGTGGATCATTCATGGTAATCTAGGGGTAGTGCCTGGTGTGTTATATGTGGCATTACTGAGAAGCCTCCTTCACATGTTATTTAAAAGTCAATCAGACAGGTGCAGCTGATTCAAAACTGTTCTCTCCAGAACTAAGAAAGTAGAGCACATCAGCCTGGTTCTGAACCTCCTAGGCCACTCAGGTCTTCCAGTTTAAGCCTACTCTGTAAACCCAGAACTTGAACCAAACATGGAGAAGGAGCATTCAGTTCCTATACTCCACTTGTCTGGAACTAACTCCCAGACTGTGCAATTTGTTTGTCTTACTCATGTTTCTACCATTATTTTTCTTATATTTTATAATCTATTTTACGTAAAGCACGTTGAATTGTCCATGTCATGTGCTATAAGAATAAACAGGCTCGTATTGGTAATCTGTGATACAGAGCATTTGCCGGCTTTCCTTAAATCATACCGGCCCCAACACTTAATCTCCAGCCGAAGCACCTACCTGTGAGAGTAAATAACTCCAGGAGCTGAAGACATAATGCAATGTTAACTACCTAAATGATGCATGCAGTATATATAGCCCTGCTTTGTCATGCACATCCTTGTGATGGTTGGCATATGGTGTAATTATCTATTTCTTCAAACTGTAAAATCCTTGCAATAAACAAGATTATAATAGAACTAAAATAGAAATGATATTTCGCGAATTTATGTTTGAATATTTTGCAAAAATATGTTGGGTGCATGATGGGGTTTAGCATCTAAAGGCCAACATTTCCCGTCTTATGTGCATTGTTGCCAGGTTGGGATGTTTCCCACCTGTCAGTTTAGGATGCAAGTGTGGATGTTACGCAGCAGCAGTCACTGTTGCGTCCGTGTTAATAGCCAAAGCCAGTAAAACCACATTAAAGAAGTGTTGGTGATGGTTGTGGTGTGATGCTCGGAGATAGATTGTTTAATCCACAATGTGTATTTATGATGTGTTTCATATTTGAGATGCATGCGTTTGACTGTTTGACTTTGACAGATGGAAAAATGCCAGGGCCGAAAATCGTTCCCAGTTCGAGCCTGCAAATAAACCTGCCTTGCCCAAAATTTATTTTAAAGACATTTTTCAATAAAAACTTATAGAATGTTATATTTTAGCTTGATAGAAAGATCTATGAAAAAAATCTGCAAAAAGAACTGACCTCTGAGAACCTTTGAACATCTTGGGTGAGGGTCCCCACGCGACTCCAATTGTAGTAGTTGAGAAACTTGACCACAGCTGGGTTTACGGCATTGTCTGATGGGACTGTGCGGAAGAAGTTGGGGTACTTTTTCTTGTCTGCCAGAACCGGGGTTGTCGCTGCAAATGACAGCTGTAATGACAGAGGATGACAAAAAATACAGTTAGGAGAGAAGCCTTCTTATAGAGGTGAATACAACTTTGATAGGATCCTGCTTTATGAGCTGCTTTTTTTGTGATACTTGTGTTTTTTAATAGTAAGTATGTACCTAAAAATCTTAATAAATAACAATCATGCATCTCTTTCTTTGGTATAAGTGATTAATCACATTATTAATGAAACACAGAGAAATATTTGCCTCCTTTATTGTACTGCAAGTCTAAACAAAACACATCTTCCCATTTACTTCAAATAACATTCAAATTATCTGTCACAAAATATTAGTAAACAGTCTAATCCCGACTTTAAAGTCCAATGTGTTTGTCAGCCTTATAGTTCTTTTGATGCAAAATCTTCACATCTGTTAGTGTTGTAACATTTCACCATTCTTTTGCTTTTGTGCTCTAAAATGTAGGGATAAGAAACTCATTTAGATGATTCATTCCTTGGTGGGTGAATAACAAGCATATTTTTTTTATCCAAAAAGTTGATTGTTCAGATGCATATACAACTGCACACAAGTACAATCAACCATAAAGTGTGCTAAGTCCTACAACACTAATTGGCTTCTAACCACGGTTGGAACTGAAGCATATATAAAGGAAAAGTTCTGTAAATAATTCTTACTATAGCACAAAACAATGATAAATGATTTCTATTTTTATACTATGAGTAATATTTTTTATTACCGTAGATTTTTTTAAGATTTAAAAACAAAAAATCCCATTCAGAATAAACTCAATTAGTCACAGATACTAGAAAGGTTTGAGCATGAAACATAGATATAAGAACAGAGAGAGTGCACATTTACAAAGAAATCATGCAGACAAAAATGTGCTACTGTAATCTAAAAGGTGTAAAAAAAATTTCCAATTGTCAATTGCTGCTCTGTAAAGCAAAAGTCTTTATTTCTGTGCAAGACTGTCCATTACCAACCAGATATCATAGTTTGATTTTTCAGTCTGTACAAAAATTAAAATATACAGTTAAGCCAAGGATTATTCATAACAATTGCATACTTCTTTTCTTTCAGCTATGCATTTTTATACAAATAGAATCTAAAAGGTTATTTATATCCTTTTCAGACAATAGAAATATTTCACATTATACTAATTGCATTACAGCAAGTAAACCCTTCTTATAGTTTTGGTACAGATTTCGGCACGTTTCCACTTGCACTTTGACAGTTTAAAGGTAAGAAGCCCTCGCTGCAATTACCCTAATATTTAGGTCTTTCAAAATATTTTCTTTCAGATGCTAATTGAGACTCTGGCTTTGCCAATCCAAACTTTAACATTTCTTCCAGTCAAAGGAAATATCTTAGTGAAATCAATCCTTTATATGCCAAGGAAATACATATATTTGGGCTTAACCATCACAGGTAAAAAAATATACAGATGATACTTGGAAAATTGACTGCACTTGGGTAATTAAAGTTTTCAGCTGTGACAGATGTGGGAAAATATTACACCAGAAACTGTTAAGAAAGAGAAGAAAAATAGTCCAGTTGTTGAAAACATGCGATCACATGGAGGAAACGTTCCACTGCTGAAGGACTTTTATAGGTTACCGGTACATATAATAATATACACTTGACTAAAAAAAAATGACCCTAGCTTCTCATGGTATAACACAAAACAAATTAAATACTTGTTTCACTCTCAGCCACTCAATGTGATTTCAATATGTGAAGCAGCTGAGAAAACATTACAGATGAGAAATATTAGTCAGCAGTTCTCCATGTTACTACACCATGTAGTGTGCTTAATTCGTCAACATGTGGAATGCTTTAGTACCTTCCGAAAGTGGATATTTTTCACATTCTGCCAAAATTATTAAAAAGTTTGTGTCAAAATATAAGATATTACCAAATGTGATACCCTTATGTTCAGTGTTAAAGGGTAAAAACTTCAATAGAAGTGAATAATTTGACTCTCTAAGTACTGTATCATATGCACTTTTCTTCAAGGTGTATAAATGATGCATAAATGAAAACAAATATGCTGAACTGGGTCTGTTTAGAAACTCATCTTAAAACTATATTGTTCATAAAATAAAGAGCATCACAGATAACCTTGATCTTCTTCATCGGGCTGAGTGCAAGACCAGGGCAGCTGGAAGCAATTTTGAACAGGGTGTGCTGAGAATTTTATTTTTTATTTTTTGGGGGGGGAGAAAAGACCTATAACCCTGTAGGCCTATTTAAAATACAATAAATAAAGATAAATAAATAGATGGAGATTTACCACTCTATTGTCATATACACTTCAGTGCTTGCAATCAGGGTCTATAACACACATACATCATTATTCAGTTCTCAGGTGAATATATGCCCCATTAATTACACTTCACAATACAAAAAAATTCAGTGGCTTTACGCCAATTTGAAAAGCCGGCATTCACAAAGGGTTGTCTTTCTTAAATTTTTCTCTTGGTATGACTTTCAGACAAACAAAACACAAAATATAATCAGTTTCTTCCACATATTGCAGCCACTGCTATGTAGCAAACCAGGCCAGTGCCACAGAACGTGAGAACGTTTCATTACCATAACGCCATGCAGGAAATTTGAAACTGGATGTTGGCTGGAAGGGCTTCCAGCTGCCGTTGCAACTCTGCCATCAGAGGTGCACTGACAGTCTCCTCACTTTTCATTGCCATGGTTGAGGTACTTGTTTTATTCTCCACCAAATTAACAAGTCTGCTGCCTCGGCGACAACTAGTTTGCTTGACATTGCCATAACAACGTGACTTTCATGCAATGGTTTTGATTAGGCCTCAAAATAATTAAATTAAAATCCAAATACATTCAATAGTAAAATAGAAAATTAAAAATCAGTTCCTAAAATGTATAAAATTTATAAATTGTGCAAAGTATTTTTAATACATATTAAAAGGTCTCCCTTTCACCACTAGGGGGTCTGACAGACTTTCTTCCGTCAGAAGCTTCTCCGGAGCCATTGTAAGATGGACCACTACAGGAGATTCTTTTTGCCTACAGCCATCAGCATCTACAAAATCTCTTTGAAGAAACCTTCATAATATGACAACAGCTGACTTCCCTTTGGGAATCATGTATGTAGGAATTTTGAATTGAAGTGGAAAAAAAATTGTTTTGCTATCTGAAAGCTGCAATTTTCACTAAATTTTGGAAAATGACAATAACATTCTTCACAGGGTTGTGAGATCAAAATGAAAGGTGCTTACAGAAGTTTTCTTCTACTACTATTTTAAACTGTCTTAGTTAAAATGACCAGACAAAGAAGAAGATAGCTCAATATTACAAACACATGAAATGAAACTCCCCAGTTTATTCACTTTTTTATACAAATATTAGATCGGCAAACTGCCATCACAAGACAGTGAAAATATAAGCTCATAGAAGTCTGCACTCCTTCTTCTGTCATTTACACTGATTCTGAAAAGGTCATGAAAGCCACATGGAGATTATCTGAGGTCATTGTTATGCTGCGGGTTTTGTGTAGACATACTTGAAGTAGCTGAAGCTCACAGGGGATCAGGTGAATTGCGAGTCCAATTTGTTTCAAACACTCTAACATCAAACTCATAAATTATGTGTATTTTCAGTAAGTCAAAGGTAATACTATTTATTTTTATTTTGTTTTTTAAACAAATGACTACATTTAAACATTCTCTATGTAGAAAGCAGGCAGTTGTACAGTATGTTCTACTTTGAAAAAGGCTTGGAAGATACCTTAAGTCATGATCATGGTCTTCATAATGCTATTTGTTTACTAAAGCTCTCAAAAAAATGTAAAGCTCCACACAGCATCTGTATTTACACTGAGGTTGATTTACTCTCATGGTTTACCCTATTCAGTAATTAAAAAGGCAAGTCAAAAGAGAGCACTAGATTGTATAGGTTTTCAATGTGGCTTAAGGTGGATGTGTACCTCACATTTTTTAAATTGTAAAGAAAATGAAAAGTTATCTTTCGTTTTCATTCCATTTTATAGCTTCATCCAATTTTTTTATTTTTTATTTTTGTCTATCACCGAAAATCCTGATACATTACTCTAAGCCTGTGGTTGTAACTAGGACTTGGAGTCAGTTACATTTGCAGAATAGTTGCATTTTAATAAAAGTCATTCAACATTTGGCAAATGACATTCACTCCAGCCATTTAGGTGGCAGTAATTCAGTTTTGGTAGAGTCTGTAAATGGAGGAATAGGTTTTTGAGGCCTTGCTGCCTTTGAAGGGCTGCCTTCCAAACAACTTACCAGAAGTACCCATACGCTTACGCTGTAAGCACCTTTCCATTCAACAGTAAACAGTTAATGCTCAATAGTCAAGTCTTGCAACAATGGACTCTGGATAAGCACGCATTCATTTTCATGAAGACAATGAATCCCTTCAAAGAAAAATGTACATGCTTGTCATGCAAAGAATAATTAAATGTAAAACTGAAAAAACAATATTTGTAAAAAAATAAAATAAAAATTAAGGCTGATTTTTGGCCAAATCTCTCTGCCTTGAAACAAAAAAAAGTTAGAGAAGTTGAAGTACCGTGAATACATCTGTAAAGCACCATAAGCCAGTCCAAATCACTTTAGCAGATGTGTTTTATCCATGAAATGCAAAACCCCAAATTTGCTCATACCAGTCGGATTTGTGTTCACACATTGACAACACAGCTTTATAAGACATTTAATGGTTTAGAGCCAACAATTAAACATAAGATTTGCAGTCACCTCTGCTTAACCAAAGACTTCTCACTAATCTAACTCAGTAGTCTTTCCATCTCCATTGAACTGATTCCAATGTGGTCTTGGACATGGTAAGAAGCCTCTATGACTGTCTAATAAGAGCAGGTGATAGTCCTAAATAGAGATGATTAAAGTTGTTCTCTAAAATCTGAGATGAACTTCATAGAGTTGGCCAAATAATCTACTTAAAGACTAATTAATAAACAAACATAAATTGGAGATCTCTGGCTGTAGCACGATATGTA